CCAAGGGAGAGATAGAGAAAATGGGTAGGAGGTGGGCAACAGAGGGGGGAGCCATGGGGGAGTTGCTTAAGTGGGGGGAGGAAAGAGGAGATGGAGTAGATGAGCCTTCAAGGTGGTACCAAGGGTGGGTAGGGGGTTGGGGGACGCGGGAGGGTCTAGCCGGAGCTAGTTTAGGGTTGTCTTTTTTTGTAATTTAACATAGAGGTAAAATGGTATTAAAAAAAGGGGAAAAATTCACTTTTCCTCCTTGTGGTTTGAGTTTGGGGCACTTTACCTATCTGTGATTCAAATATAGATGGTTTAATTAATAAAATTTGTGATTAATTTAAAATTAAGTGTATAATATCAAAGATAAAGAGAATTAACGTTAACGGATGTTAGATTGCAATTTAGTCCAAACCAGAATGGGCAAATATGCCTATATTTAAATCACATGTGGGTAAAGTGATCCGGCCTCAAACGATAAGGGGATATAGTGAAATTTGAAAAAAAATACCGAATTTGGGATGTCCAACAATATCTTTGGGATGCATTTAAAGGCTCCTTGGATAACTGAGCTGGTGTTTAATTAAAATTTAAAACCTTTTTGCATTAATAAAAATGCATAAAGGATATGCTCGACTTCTTTGTTTTCGTGAAGTTTCTCTATTTTTTACTGCTTCTTTTCCACCAGGTTTCCTCCTATCAAATGTGAAACTTACATGCTCCAGCGGTACAAGGATACTCATGCTGTTCTCGAGTCATATGAAAAATGATTCGCCAAACTCTGTTGTCAATATTATTGGGATTTTCGCTTCAAGTGTAGAACACAGACGTTAGCTGCTTCCTGCCACAGTTTGTATGGAAACAGGTTCTCTTAGTTGAATATTGGAGAAATATCATGTAATCTTTTTTTGGTTGCAAATGTAATGTTGATATATATGTAAAACATGTATGAGAATATGCGAAATATTTATTAAAATTTTAACTTTTTTTATTTATTTTATTTTTACATTATTTGATCAATTGCAGGATTTTTATTTTGTATGCTACATTTACATTTGAAAGAGTTCACAAAGCAAATAATTGGGTTATGTTGTGCATTGTGGAGAGAATAAGTTTTCACTATGGACCTATATTTGGTTAATAGATATGTTCCATTCATTTGACATTTGATTAATGGTTGTAATTGCCAGAAGTTGCACTACTGTTTGGTAATGTTTTTGTTTTTAATTTTTATTTTCATTTTCATTTTCTGAAAAATACAAAATAAATATTTTTGCAAATTATTTATTACTGGAAATGAGTTTTGTGAAAATTTTCTGAAAACAATTCACTTAAAAAAAAAATTAAAGTGACTATGTATCCCATCATGTGTTTTACAGCTTATACGTGTAATTTTCATTCAGATATGACTTGTCTGCATGTGAATTGGACCACATCGTTATCTCATTTGGGCTCACCACATTCTTATTTTGAGTGTGTTTTGAATCTGTCCAACTGCTATTTCTCCTATTCCAATGGCTATATTTGCTCTCCAATGGTCAAATGAAGATGACGGATTATAAATAGAATATCTACATTCATCTACAAGTGAGGGAGAGGATAATCTCCAAAAGAGGAGAAAATACAATAATTTTATACTGTAACTTTCATTTAATCTCTATGAGCTTTAATTGTTTAAATCCAACTCTTTAGGAGTTTATCGTACAAAATGCTTTACGCATTTTTTTTTATCTACAAATCATCTATAAATGGTTGTTATACTCATGAGCTTCATTGTGAGTGTTTGAGAGAGAAACACTTGAGAGATTTGATAACACCAAAAAATGGGCTGTTTTGGTGAGTTTGTATTTTGGGATTTTTGGAACAAAATTATTGTTGTAAAAGTCTTGCAAGTATCCGGTAAACTTGCCGGTGTAAATCTATTAGATGAATAGTGAAAATACTCGAGGGGAAGCCTTGAGGAGTGGATGTAAGCTTGGATGGAAACCGAACCATTATAAATCTTGTGTTTGCCTTCTCTCTCTATCTGTCCTTTATATTTATAATTGCTACTCTGTTGTGCTTTGATTTGATTTGCTCACACACATTATTGCTCATGTTTTATATGTTCTTTCTTTTATTTTACTTGAGCAAGTTAATTTTATTGAATTATTTTATTTGAAGTTATATTTATCAACTTAATTTCCCCCCTCTTGTGTTGTCTACGTGGTGTAACAGTATGAAAAAAAGTTCAACCTTGCTCTATTTGTTACATATATAAGCAAGTTCAAATTAAATTTTTAGGCTTGTTTAATAAACCCAATAAGAGCTCAACTCTGCTTGTTACATATATAAGCGAGTTCAAATTAAAATTTTAAGCTTGTTCAACAAATTCAGTAAGAGTTCAACTCTGCTCAGTTTGTTACATATATAAACAATGTCAAACCAATCTTTTGAACTCGTTTAATAAATGAATCACTCAAGGTTCAAGTCAATTTTTTTCTTCATTATTGAGTTTCAAACCAAACTCGAGCATAACTTCATCATTAAGTTTCAAACCGAAATTGTTCATTATTGAGTTTCAAACCAAACTCGTTTAAAAAACGCCGCTATAGCTATCAAAAACGCCGCTGATTGTTTTTGTGACGTTTAGTACCAAACGCCGAAGCTGCGGCCGTCGCTGTAGCTTTATGACGCTTTAAAAGCGTCGCTATATCAGTATATGCGGCGTTTTTAAAAACGCCGCTAAATGTGCTGCATAATTGTACAATGACGTCACTACTCATTTATCGACGTTTTAAAAACGCCGTGATAGGTCAATTTTATTTTCAAAATGTAACCGTTGGTATTCTATAGTAACGTTTAAAAACGCCGTTATAACTTCATTTTTTTAAAAAAACAAAAAAAAAATTTGTGCTAATTCTATGAGATTTAACCCCAAAAAAATACCTTTTATAAAGATGAAAAATATATAATATATTGACTAAATTTAGGTAAATATAATACTAGATCAATTCATGCTCTACCTCTACATTTTTTTTTCTTTTTTTCTGCACAAAATGATGATAAAATAATAGGACACAATCTGAAGTAGAGAGCAATGGAGAGGCATGATTGAGCATTAGAAGTGGTTTTTTTTTTTTTTTTTACATGATGAGTTCAGTAGGATAGGAATGAATATATGCAGAGTTCATTTGCCAAATCTTGAGGGAGGCTATGATGTTGGCCTCAGTAGCATTGTTGAAACAAGAAAATTTTTACATCCTCATAGATGGCCTTCGTTGGATATACCCGCGAAGTTATGCACGTCCTCCCGCGTTGAGCGAAGCTTTCTACTATCGAGTGATCCACCTAAATTAAAAATGACCCCACATTTTAATAATCCAAATTTTATTTTTGATAAATTTTAGGATTTTAGGCAGCAAATTATTATTTACTACGCAAAATGATTTTTTTAACATACCAATATTCTCATGCTGAACTTTTCTCCTTTGAGCACTGGAACTGTGCTTCTGTAAATTGGTTTCATCACATCTGTTGCCTTTGAAGACCTACACAAAAAACAGGTGTATCGGCGAGTCAAGTTGTGGTTCATGCCAAAAACAGTCCTCTGATTAGGGATAGCAAAAAAATCCCCGACCCAGCAGTTCCCAACCCTCCCCGATTCTAATAAAATGAGTTTGGGGAGGGTAACCCGACTAGATTATGCATACTATAAAAAACCTGACATATAAATTACATAATTATAAAATGATTTTAAAGATTTTTTTCTCTCTTCTATTCTCTGTTTTATTGTATATTACAGCTCTTTTCTTTCTTCCTTGACTCTGATCGCACACTTAAATCAATGTTAAATCATTGTCATCTAGAACTATCAAAATCACATTATTACTATTCAATACTAAAAATATAAGACATAACACTAAACGGGGCAAGTAGGGTCAGAGACTAGATTATATTATGTGGGGAGGGCCGAGGGGGAGAGGAGAGTCTGGTGGATAAGGTCCAATATTCACTAAACAAAGGTGGAGGAGGGTAGGGGTCAAAGACTCATACCTGCCTCATTGCCATCCTAACCTCTAATAATACTAAGCCAATGTTTCGGGTTGGAGAAAAAATCAGAATTATATGAAAATAATGGAGGTTTTCAGAGATGGATGGAGATTCTACCTTCAAAATGATTGTTAACAAGGGGCAGGTAATATAATTTTCAAAAAAAATTAAAAATTATAAGGATGGACTTATATAATTTGGTAATACTCAACCAATAAGACTATAATAAAGGACAAAAAATGTTAATTAATATTGAGTATGTTTCAAGTGCACAATATAAAGAGTAACAAACCTTGATTCATCAGCACAGAAGAAAGTCTTCAACTTGCCCTCAGCTCCTTTGGCAACATAGAAGTAAATGGGAGTCTGCTCAGAAAGGCTCTCATCTGCAAGAACCAACAAACCAAACGGTCCAAGAGCACCCTGGTTTGCTGCTCCACCGGCAGTGCTGTAACTGAACATCTCCATCTCAGTTACTACACATTGCTATTTTAAAGTAAGGCTATAATTTGAGTGTGATTGTCAAAATAAAGAGAACACAACATAGAAGATTGCTTACAAGCTTTTAAGCACAAACAAACAATTTACCAACGAAAATTTTGTTTTCAAAGTCATAAGGTCTAGGAACTGATCATCCTCAATCTTCTTCATTAAAATTTTGTTTGCCTAATACAATGAGAAGAGCTTGAGCATTTGAGTACATGAACAATAAGTTTTCACAAAAACAAATAAAAATATACCTCTATGAGTTCCTTCTGTAAGAGGCATATTTATTGGGAGAAACTGTTAGGTTGCTTGGGATGTCTGTCTGTAAGAGGCATGGACCACCACATGGCCTTCGCCAGGTGATGTCCTAGAAGCACTGAATAACTTCTCCCAAAGCAGAGCCCACCTGTAGGCCTTTTATCCACTTTTAAAAACATATTTATTTTTATCACAGCACAAACCAGATACACATTTGAAAAACATAATATACCATGCAATCAGCGTAACTGGAAAACATGCAGAAAGAAATGTAGACCTGATCCATACTTATATCAATGCAAATAACTTACAGTAGAAAGCCGGAATGGACAAAACTTCGGCTTCCCTCTGCGTCCATACTTTAGCAGATATGCCCCCCTCTTTAAGGCTGCAATAGACTACATTTAAAAATAAGATACAGAAAAAATTATCAGATCACTCACGGATAATTTAGCAAAAGCATATAGCATACTGAAGTACCCTAAGAGGAAACAGGGAGAATATTAAGAAAATTAGCATATGTGAAGATAAATAAAAACTTCATGATATCACAAGAAATTCCCAATCATGGGCTTCCTACACCAAAAATGGTGTTTAATCATGGGCATCCATCCGATAAATTTTAGGATTTTAGTCAGCAAATTATTATTTACTAAGCACAATGATTTTTTTAACATACCAATATTCTCATGCTGAACTTTTCTCCTTTGAGCACTGGAACTGTGCTTCTGTAAATTGGTTTCATCACATCTGTTGCCTTTGAAGACCTACACAAAAAACAGGTGTATCGGCGAGTCAAGTTGTGGTTCATGCCAAAAACAGTCCTCTGATTAGGGATAGCAAAAAAATCCCCAACCCAGCAGTTCCCAACCCTCCCCGATTCTAATAAAATGAGTTTGGGGAGGGTAACCCGACCAGATTATGCATACTATAAAAAACCTGACATATAAATTACATAATTATAAAATGATTTTAAAGATTTTTTTCTCTCTTCTATTCTCTGTTTTATTGTGTATTACAGCTCTTTTCTTTCTTCCTTGACTCTGATCGCACACTTAAATCAATGTTAAATCATTGTCATCTAGAACTATCAAAATCACATTATTACTATTCAATACTAAAAATATAAGACATAACACTAAACGGGGCAAGTAGGGTCGGAGACTAGATTATATTATGTGGGGAGGGCCGAGGGGGAGAGGAGAGTCTGGTGGATAAGGTCCAATATTCACTAAACAAAGGTGGAGGAGGGTAGGGGTCAAAGACTCATACCTGCCTCATTGCCATCCTAACCTCTAATAATACTAAGCCAATGTTTCGGGTTGGAGAAAAAATCAGAATTATATGAAAATAATGGAGGTTTTCAGAGATGGATGGAGATTCTACCTTCAAAATGATTGTTAACAAGGGGCAGGTAATATAATTTTCAAAAAAAAATTAAAAATTATAAGGATGGACTTATATAATTTGGTAATACTCATAACCAATAAAACTATAATAAAGGACAAAAAATGTTAATTAATATTGAGTATGTTTCAAGTGCACAATGAAAAGAGTAACAAACCTTGATTCATCAGCACAGAAGAAAGTCTTCAACTTGCCCTCAGCTCCTTTGGCAACATAGAAGTAAATGGGAGTCTGCTCAGAAAGGCTCTCATCTGCAAGAACCAACAAACCAAACGGTCCAAGAGCACCCTGGTTTGCTGCTCCACCAGCAGTGCTGTAACTGAACATCTCCATCTCAGTTACTACACATTGCTATTTTAAAGTAAGGCTATAATTTGAGTGTGATTGTCAAAATAAAGAGAACACAACATAGAAGATTGCTTACAAGCTTTTAAGCACAAACAAACAATTTACCAACGAAAATTTTGTTTTCAGAGTCATAAGGTCTAGGAACTGATCATCCTCAATCTTCTTCATTAAAATTTTGTTTGCCTAATACAATGAGAAGAGCTTGAGCATTTGAGTACATGAACGATAAGTTTTCACAAAAACAAATAAAAATATACCTCTATGAGTTCCTTCTCATGTTTCTTATACACAATCTGAAGTAGAGAGCAATGGAGAGACATGATTGAGCATTAGAAGTGTTTTTTTTTTTTTTTTTTTTTACATTATGAGTTCAGTGGGATAGGAATGAATATATGCAGAGTCCATTTGCCAAATCTTTAGGGAGGCTATGATGTTGGCCTCGGTAGCATTGTTGAACAAGAAAATTTTTGCATCCTCATAGATGGCCTTCGTTGGATATATCCGCGAAGTTATGCACGTCCTCCCGCATTGAGCGAAGCTTTCTACTATCGAATGATCCACCTAAATTAAAAATGACCCCACATTTTAATAATCCAAATTTTATTTTTGATAAATTTGGGTAAAAAAGGATACATATAACAGATCTTTATATCTAGTGACTATGACATTTCTTATAAAAAAGGATCGTGCTTACTGCTTAGTATGCCCAGAATATGTGTTTTGGAATTATTATGTGATGTGGACTAGCATAGCTCATTAAATAGCCGGATGGATGAAAAGTAGCAAGTCAACAACATCAAAATAATTCAAATAAGGTAACATTTGCATGGTATGCACAAAAGAGGAAGATAGAAGACCCAGACCATCTTTCCTGCCTAGAAGACAGTCCTTCTCTACCAAATCATAACAGTAAGGAATGACACATCCATGCCCTTTCATATCATTAGCAGAGTCAGAAATAATTAATGGAAAACCAGTACAATTATATAACAAATATGGAACAAAAATGCATATTTCACGAGCCCTAGAAAATGCATCCATCACCTTTTCCACAGTAACATTTATAGGACCTAGAATGAAGTAACATTAACGCTGTTAATGAATTTATCAAAATATAATCACTTGAAGGAAACCACAAGTTAACATAAATTACCATCACATAAATCAGGATCAAAGGCAATCATTTCAGATAGAGAGAACTTTGTTCCACTAAACTTGGCAATTCCACTAAATGTTTCTGCACGTGGGAATTTCAAAATCGAAGGTCTAAATCCATGCACATGGAAAATTACTCCAAGGTCATGTGAAGAATCAATATGGAAAAAGGAAGTTTCTGCTTGAAAAAAATAGCACATATATAAGTCAATCAATCCACATAACCAACTTCAATAAATACTAAAGAAATCTACTAATTTATGGACTTCATCAAATATCTGGTTAGCCAGTATACACTACAAACATGGCATTTATTTCTCATTTTCCTACCTATAAAATTTAAATACAAAATTATAACCATTTTCCCACCTTAAACAATCATGCAAATTTGAACCAAAAATGTTAGTCAAGAGTCTTCAGAAAAAATGAATTATTATATCGTAATACACTAACCTCTCTTGTAGCGGTGATTGTCCCACGAAGATCTCATAGATCCAACAGAGATGATCAGAGTTGCCATTAGCAAAACCAACACACTCAGTGCAATAGTAACTCGAGCCATTCTTCAGATTTTCTGATTTTAAAACATACCTGAGAAGAAAACCAAACAGATCAAAAAAATGACCATATAAAGATTAAAAGAGAAACAAGATATAGAATTAGAGCATCAGGAAAAAGAAATTCAGTAATTGACTAGAAATGCCTCCTTTCCATTTCATCAGTAAATTCTTATTGAATGAATCTGTGAGACCTAACTCAAGAACAACAATACAACAGCATAGGTAAAATTGGTGTTCTCCTAAAAGAGAGTCGCTAGTACAACCAAATTAACAATGATATGTCAAAAAGATAGAACAAAATAGTTTTCAGAGTCATAAGGTCTACGAACTGATACCTGTAAGGCTCCTTACAAGCAGATCGAACTTCAGTTTTCAGAGTCATAAGGTCTAGGAACTGATCATCCTCAATCTTCTTCATTAAAATTTTGTTTGCCTAATACAATGAGAAGAGCTTGAGCATTTGAGTACATTCACAAAAACAAATAAAAATATACCTCTATGAGTTCCTTCTCATGTTTTTTATACCTCTATGAATTCTTTCTCATTAAAATTTCACAAAAACAAATAAAAATATACCTCTATGAGTTCCTTCTCATGTTTCTTATAGAGTTCTGCAACTCTTCTCTTGGCTTTAGCATAATCTTGAGCATTTGAGTACAGGAACGATAAGTTTTCAAGTTCAGACTGCCAGAAGGTATTAGTAGATTAGCAAAATAGTGGGTGCAAAGAACATAACTGCAATGATAGTGTAAAATAAAATCACACATAACACAAGCATAGTTACAAAAAATGACAGAAAAATGACATACCAAACTGTAAAAAAAAAAAAAAATTCTTCATAGCAAGAGGAATATTTTCATTTTGAAAATTAAAAAAAAAGAGAAAAAAGAAGAAAACAGAGTAGTAGAAGGTTGGAAACTAACCTCATCATCATCCTCCATACTTGTTTTCTCGCTTCTTAAAAGCTGATTTTAGAAACAACAAACAGGCAATTGCTTCCTTTCTAGATAAAGGTTTTAAAGAATAGAATCGCCAACTATATGAAATTTCAAAACCATTCAATGAGCTTCATAGTTAACCCAATTGAGCAGTAAGAGACAATTATAAATCTTACGGCCATAAAAAAGTAAAGTTGTAGTCCTTCAGCAGGCCTATTAGCTTATTTCTCATGTTCTCAATGATCCAGGAGTGGTTACTATGTTTTATGCTTTAAGGTTATTCACAAAATTAGAGACAAATGCGTGCAGTGACATGAAAGGGCAGTAACCAAATATGGATAGGAAGAGAAAAGAGTGGGTATAGGAGCAGACAACTTGAAACATAGAGATAAGGATATATTCATACTAGATTCAGGAGTCTAGCATGATAGGACCATTATATGACACAAGGATAAAAGAAGTAATTCAGGAATGACTATACTTTTCCTAAAATTTTTATATTATTGGCTCAAGTTGGAAAGGACAAGGTTGTTAATTGATCCATAGTACTTAACTACTAATCACTCAATTAGCTAATAAACACACAAACAAAATCAAAGTAAATTTTAATTTCCTTTACCTCTTTTTTGCATGCATCATAGGTTTTAATACTATGTTTGAAGGTATAATACTGCAATAAATTCATAATATATCTTCTCAACTCTTCTTGTGTATACATCTTTTGCATCAAGAACAAAATAAGGAATTTTCACTCATTCTCAGCAAAGCATTTCCTTTAAGCCAAGTGTAAGTATTTACTGAGCCTGAAATCCTTTGAAGCCACTGTTGTCCAAAATTGCATACAACAGTTAACGTAATTTGTAAGACATTTTACATACCCTTGTCAAGCTCCCAAACTGCTGTTCTCTTTCCAGGAAGACTGTCAGAGTCTTCATAATAGGTTATGCACTTTATAGTTAACCCAATTGAGCAGTAAGAGACAATTATAAATCTTACGGCCATAAAAAAGAAAAGTTGCAGTCCTTCAGCAGGCCTATTAGCTTATTTCTCATGTTCTCAATGATCCAAGAGTGGTTACTATGTTTTATAGTTTAAGGTCCCAAACTATGAGATATGCTTTCTAGATAGGGCGGAGTGAAGTAGGAGGGTAAGAGAAAATGAAAATGAGCAGAGATGGTTCTAAAACAGCATGTCAAGTTTAAAATATGAGCATACTAATAAACTAAAGTCACTTGAAAAATGATCATTCTCCTAAGAGTGACAAAATAAACAATTTATTTTCAAATTACATGAAGCACAAACAAACAATTTACCAAAACAAGTCCAATTATGTTTGTAGGTTGCACATAGTAGACTGGCACTCTTCTATGCCCTTTACCCAAAATTAAATTCATCAGCTCCCTATTAGATATCAAGCATCATCATATATATGATCAAAACAAAGTTAAAAAAATTATGTTTGTAGGTTGCTTATAGTAGACTGGCACTCTTCTATGCCCTTTCTCCAAAATTAAATTCATCAGCTCCCTATTAGATATCAAGCATCATCATATATATGATCAGAACAAAGTTAAAAAAGATTTCAAGTAAACCTTCTATTCAAAAGTTTTCCAAAGCATGGAACACCTGTCAAGCTTGGCATTGATATCAACAGCAAAAGTGTCAGATATGGGAGTCATGGCATCACTGGCTGTTTTCTCAGTAAGCCCAAGGGCTCCAGCAATAATTGTTGTCCCATCATGTGTGAGTTCTCCACCTTTTCCAGCCTGTTTACAGGTAATCAGAAGACTATCAAGTCACAAGATAAAACATTAGGAAAAAGAAGCTCTTTGCAATGGAGTTTGAAGTGAAAAATAAAAATGGGATAACATTAACTTCGGGAGACGTTTTTATAGACAAGAAAATTAAAATTCCTGCAAGTAGCACATTTTGTAGGAAAAAGGGAGGAGTATTGGATGGATGCTTTAAGGATTCCTCAATTGGAGACCTTTTTTTTCTTTTGTTTTCTATCAGAACAGATGGGCAGACACATTCCCACCTCAATTGCCCATGTAGCAAATTGTAGGGATAAGAAATCAGTTTTAAGTAGGTACAATCGGGCACGAATACCCTAATAAACCATAAATTGCACTGCAAATTCAAACAGTTGTCCACCTGTTCCAAAATTTATTGCTCTCTTCTAAAGAAATGTTACCTAAGATAAATCCCTCACCTCTCCAAACAGAAGTATCAATGTAACTGAAATCGGGATGGCACCCCAAGCAGTAACCAGACTATCCAGAAATATGGGAAGTGTCTGACAAAAAGAACATCTAAAAACATCAAGTACTTCACGATACATGTTATTAAAAATAGCTTGTTTCAACATGCCATAATATATGTACCTCCATGGCAGCAGCATTGCATATAAGCAACGTGCAAAGCAATAAATGCTGTTTTCGGACAACTGGTAATATCTTTTCTGTTGTGAAAAAGTAAAAGATGTCAATTATACTGTATAGTAGTACACAATCAAAATAAAGAGAGAGCCAAAGAATGCAATACAATTCTACCAACCTCAGCCATATGTAGTGTTTGAAGCATTACAAAAACAAAATCTAATAGTACAGCATATTTGCCATTTATAACTTGTGTCATCACCCATACATCACTAGCATCATCTCAATTATATTTATCTTGCAATATTTGTCTTTCTATTTATCTAGTCCAGCTAAATACCCCCCAAATGGGAAAATGCATGCCCTGTTTTCTTTGTAAGAAATGCCTTTTATTCATCAATAAGCCACTGAATGCTCTTCATACATGCTTGTCACGCTCACTCTCCTAACACTGCTGGAAAATACAAATCTGACTAATTGTAAGTTATATAGAGTTGACCAATTCAGATGAATTGAGACTAGCATTTATTTATATTAAAAAAATATATAGAATGGCAATTACACAGAAGAGAGAATACATATAGAACAGAAACTCTTCAACTGCCTTCTCTCTAAGGCTTCCCCCAATTCTCGATCCTTCTCTGCACAAACGAAAATCAACAACCAAATCAACATTGTCCTTTAATAATGAAAATGCTGAAAATGAACCAAATTTTTAGAAGAAAATTTGTCTATCACTACAACTAGATTTATCAGGTTTATTTTTTTTTTTTTTTTTTTTAACTCCTTCAAAACACTGCCTATCTTGCAGTGAACTGCATTTCTTTATCAAGCAAAGAAGAGCTGTACATTTCGCATGGCTTTCTGGAGCCGGTATCTATCATGGTGGCCTAAATTTTGGAGCACAGCATAGGTAGGAGATGACTCTCAAGTCTCATCATTTTTGCTTCCTTTTGTGAACAGAACAATAGGCATAAATTCTGGAATTTATTGTTTACTAGGCTCTACTTCTTTGGTTCTCTCTTGAAAAAATGTCTGAATTTCATTTTCTGCTTCTCCTAGGAAACAAGGTTAAGGCACGTCTTTCTGTGCAGCGCACACACAGACAGGCGGGGGAGCTTCGAAATCGAGAGAGAGAGAGAACTTCAAAATCAAAATCGAAATCGTCAATCGCTCAGAGATTGGATCTGAGATGAATCCCCAACCGCTCTGAGATTGGATCTGAGATAAATCACCAATCGCTCTGAGATTGGATCAAACGGGGCTGCAGAAGGTTGATTCGATCGGTTGATTCGATCGGTTGAGAGAGATTAGTGTTTAGAGAGGGTTGAGAGAGAGAGAGAGTGAGAGTGAGATCGATCCAGAGAGTGAGTGAGAGAGTAAGCGAGTGTTTTGGGTCCTTGACCCAAAATAAGACATTTGAAGAGAGAGAGAGAGAGAGTGAGAGAGAGAGAGAGCGCGCGCGCGTGGAAAAGTTGTACAATTGCGCGTGGGAGAGTTGGACATTTGGAGGCGCTTTAACACGCCCTCTCTTCTAAAAACGGTATCGTTTTATTTTTAAAAAAATGTGGCGCTTATCAAACGTGGTAAAATATTGAAAAAGATGACGTTTAAAAAAACGTCGTTAAATGAACGTCGTTAAATCTCATTTTTCTTGTAGTGAGTACTCGTGTTTTATCTATTTATTTATTTATTTATTTATTTTCACAGTGTTACAATCAACCAGAACATCTACTTTGAGGGTTTGTACTTGGCTTCATCTTCAATGGGAAGTGCAATGGGAAATCTAGTCCCCGCCATAACTTTTGTAATAGCATCTTTTATCGGGTAAAATTGCAAAAACATGCATTCTCAATGGCCACCACATGAACATCAAAACTTTCTAGGAGGAATCTGTTCGGTCTAGATTTTGGACTGGAGGGTGCTTTTGGATCCGTGAGACCTATCACAGGTCCCATATCGACAATCTAAACTGTTCGTTTTATCGGACACTTCGTGTATTTCATCTAAAAAAAAAAATTAATTCGATTAACTTATTCAATTTTTCACTAAAAAAATATATAACAATTGTGTTTTTTAAAATAAATTATACATTTTTTCAGTGAGAAATATAATAAATTGAATAAGTTATAGTTATCGGATTGATCTAATTTTTTGTAGATGCAATACATGAAGTGTCCAAAAAAATGAACGATTCGGATTATTAAAAAGGGACCCAAGGTGGGTCTCATGAACCCAAACAACACCCTCCAATCTAAAATTTAGATGGGGGAATCCTCCTCCTTACCGAAAACATCTAAAAAGAAAATAATATCTGAAAAAATACTTTTGGTTAGAAAATTGTACCGATCTAAATAAATAGTGCGTTTAATTTGTTACATATATGCATTCGCACTGAATCACTTCTTTTTTTAAATTTTAGAAAAAAGGTCATGTCCCTCTTATTTAAGCCATCTTAATTAATCATACAAATAAATTATAGAAATTTGTTTATGATATGACCATGTTAATACTTTAGACAATACTGGATAAATTCATTTTCACCATTGCACAATGCGACATATTTCAAATTAAAATTAATCGTTTTACTACATCATGTAAGTGGGGGGAAAACTTGAGAAAACAAACAAGAATTTTGTGGGATATCCCCCTTGTTAGAATATCCCTCCTCTAACAAGATCCATGTAGATTTCATTTTTTAGTTTAACTGGTTGATGAAAGAAATCAAATAACAAAAATTTGGTGTGACCATGTTCTTCATTTATTTTATAAGTCAATCTCATCATGCCAACATATGGATTTTGTTTTAATATGCAACTTGGAATAACTTAGAGGTTGTTTGACATCTAGTTAAATTTATTATTTTTTTTAAATTTGTGTCAAATGTTTTTTAATTTTTTGGTCCATATAGTGTAGAATAATCTATAAATTACAAAACTTAATTAAAAAAGGCCAAAAATGTTAACTATTTTTTTTTCCCTCCTCTAGTGGATTTCTTTTCAATTTTTGTATTGGTTTTTTTACTTTTTTTGATCGTCTAGTGAAATAAAACCTAAAAACTTAAAACTTTTTGAAAATTAAAAAATAAAAATTCTAAAGACAAAAAAAAAAAATGAAAAAAAGAAAAAAAAAATGAACTATAAAAACTACTGTAAAAATAAATCCCAAACACCCATTTGGTGGTGTTTGATAAAGCTGAAATTGAAAATTAAGAATTGAAAACTGAATGCTGAATTTTTTACACTGAAAAACCGTTTGATAAAAATTTAAGTGATGAACTAAAAATAAGTTGTGTGATATATATATATATATATATAAGATCAAATTTGAAATTTATTATTTTTAAATTATACATTTAATATTTTCTATGGTGATGGTGATGGTGGTAGTATGGTGGTGGTGATAGCAATAATGATAGTAATGATAGTAAAGTGATGGTGTAGCTTATCGCAACAATAACAATGATGATGAAAGTAGGATAAGTTGTGGTGGTAGTGGCGGCATGATAGTGGTGGTAGTGGTAGCGTTAATAGTGGTGGTGGTGGTGGTGGTGGAGGGGGGGTGGGGGAGGGGTGGTGATGACAGAAGGGGAGGGAAGGGGAAGGAGAGAGAGGAAGGGAGAAGAAGAGGGAGCACCGGACTGGAGGGGGCCTAAATCACCGGGGGAGGAGGAGGAAGAGGCGGAGGCGGGCCGCAGGCGGAGGCGACTTCTGTTTTCTTTCAGGCCATCCAGCACGCCCATTCGTTTTCGATGCAATCTTTTGAAAATCGGCAAAGATTGGTCGATATGAAGAGGGAGGTTTCTGCCCTCAAAAAGGATAGTAAATCTCTTGAATCAAAGATGAAGAAATTGGAAGATCAGGCCGAGGCCGCTACTAAGGCCTAGCAGATAGCCGAAGAAAAAGCGGAGTCTGCTGAGGCTATTAGAAAAGTTGCTGAAGCTGAAAAGGAGGAGTTTAAATCGAAAATGGCTCAGGCTGAGAAAGAGCTTCAAAAGGCTCTGGCCACAAAAAAAGCCGAAATCAAAGAAGTTGATGAGAAGGCCTACGCCCAGGGCATGGCCGATGTCACTGAGGACTACAAACTTCAAGTTAAGCAGGCATGCAACAGGGGCTTCTCCCTTAGTTGGATGGCCCTTGCCAAAAAACTCAACATCCCAGATGACTCGCCGTTGCACAATGCTGAAGCTATTCCTCTCCCATTTCCTCCTCTTCCACCTCCAAGTCAGGCTGAAGAAGAATCTGAGTCTGAGTCTGAAGCCGAAGATGAGGATAACGATGACGGTGATGCTCTAGTAAGGAAGCCCAAGGACGCTGGTGAGATCCAATCTCTTCCTCAGGATGATCAAAACCTAGACCTGACTCACGAAGAGGATGAGGAGGTTATTAAGGAGGCTACTCCTGAACAAGCATCATCTGACGTCCCTCCTACCGATGATAGTCTTAATCAAACACTTGCCGAAATTGATGCCGAGATCATGGCCGAGAAGGCTGCCGAAGTAGCTTTTCAAGAACCCGCCGAGGTCCAAATTCAAATTGCTCCTGAGGCTGAAGAATCATAACTTCCATGTCTTTTGTACTTTTTTGTTTTTTGGACAATATAAGTTTCTTTATATGGTCGATGTGCCTTCCTCAGAACAGTTATTCTTGGATTGTTCCCGCTTTTATGAAGGACTACAATTGTATTGTCGGAATGCTTTAATCTTTTAATTTCTGTTTGATTTGCTTCTGCATGATTCTGTACTTAGAATATTTTGCTACCTTTGTGCAATCTCCTCGGGGTTACATACCTCGGGTATAATAACATCAAACTTTATTTCGGCAAGATTCAGACCTGAAAAACTTTTGATAAATTCCAACAAGTGTTTAACATATACAATTCAATGTTAATTCTGTAAGTTTCTTCTCAAGTTTCAACAAGTACGTAAACAGTGATTTCGGTCTAACCTACTTGTAAATTGCTACAAATTTCAACAAGTGAGTTAAGTGTCTCTGTCTTCTCTCTGCCCCCAATGTGAACCTGAGTTCTACTTGGGTTCTCATTATTCATGTTTCGAAAACACCAATATGTAATTTCGTCAATCATATGTGTTGAAAGAATTCTGAAAAGACTTTATTGATGATATCGGCCAAAAAATGATGCACATCTAATGATAAAAAAATTTCAAATTACAAGTATTTCAAGGTCTGGGCAATGCTTTGCCCTCATTGTCCTTAAGCCGATAAGCTCCATTGCCTAATACTGAAGCAATTCTGTAGGGTCCTTCCCAGTTTGGGCCAAGCTTGCCCTCTCTGGGATCCTTTTTGTTGCCGACGACTTTTCTCAAGACTAGGTCGCCGACTTGAAAATCTCTTGGATTGACATTTTTGTTGTAAATTCTAGCAAGCTGCTGCTGGCATATTGCTAGCTGAATTGCAGCCTTTTCTCTTCGTTCTTCCAAGAGGTCCAGATCTCGGGCTAAGACTATGTCGTTAGTGCTATTCTCTACTCCCTGGGTTCTGATCCCTGGGATGCCGATCTCCAATGGGATGACAGCTTCTGTGCCATAAGCCATGGCAAAGGGGGATTCCCCTGAATTGCAGCTTTCTCTCTTCGTTCTTCCAGCAAATCCAGATTTCGAGCTAAGAGTATGTCATTGGTGCCATTCTCTACTCCCTGGGTTCTGATCCCTGGGATGCCGATCTCTAATGGTATGACTGCTTCTGTGCCATAAGCCATGGCAAAGGGAGATTCCCCTGTTGATCTTCTCGGCGCAGTTCGATGTGTCCAAAGCACGTTGGGCAATTCGTCTAC